GTCCTTTGAGTTAAATGGTGTAATTGGCTGTGTATATGATTCCTAGCACATGATGCTTAGCCTACCTTTCTCTGTTATTTTAATCTGTTATCTTTAAAATATATACATAATGAATATATACATATTCTATTGCTGCAGATGTTATTTATGTGAGCAGATTTAAACATCTCATTACTTCTCTTGCTTTTGCTTGGGTTTTCTGAAAGAAAGGAAAAAGAAAGGAAGTTGCTGGACACAAACTGTTCATCACAATTAGCTCCCTTACCTGTGCAAATGCATTTTCAACTATGAATACGCTAATCCTCCATTGTACCCAACTTCATGCATTCTTCTGAACTCGGGTTTCTTTACTCTCAAGAACAGAATAACACAAGAGAATGAGATGAGGTGTAAAGCACAACTTGATGTACCTAATTACTTGACAATGAGCAAAAAAGGGAGATTAACTCATGCTTCAAGGGATCATCACTGAGTCCTTCTCTTGTATTTCCCTCTCTTTTCTCCTTCCCTAGCCATCTGAAATAATGAACTAGTTATAGATAATTAGTCAATTATATCCTGGCCTACATATGGCATCTTGTAACATGAAATTCCCTGGACCCATGAAGCAGAGTCTCAGCAATAGAGGGAAGCAGCTAGGGTAGATGTAGTGGGCAAGCCGCTAACCACGGGGCCACCCACCCTCAGAACTTCCGTCTTGTCCAGGTTCAGCCTCAGCCCATTCTCCTGCATCCATCCCAGTACGGTCCCCAGTTTAATAAAATCATGTTTGTGGAGAAAAGTTATGGACTAAACTCCATGAAATCATGTTTAGTTTTCATCTACAAATACAACTAGGGATAAGTGGAGGACACAATGTTAGTATTTTCATTCATTATGTGTATGCCTCCAAATGATTAAATCAGAGGACCTTTTAACTCCATGGAAAACAAAGTGGGAAAGTGATTATAAATCAGTTTGATAATATTTCTGAAAGTCTGTCCTTTGAGTTAAATGGTGTAATTGGCTGTGTATATGATTCCTAGCACATGATGCTTAGCCTACCTTTCTCTGTTATTTTAATCTGTTATCTTTAAAATATATACATAATGAATATATACATATTCTATTGCTGCAGATGTTATTTATGTGAGCAAATTTAAACATCTCATTACTTCTCTTGCTTTTGCTTGGGTTTTCTGAAAGAAAGGAAAAAGAAAGGAGGTTGCTGGACACAAACTATTCATCACAATTAGCTCCCTTACCTGTGCAAATGCATTTTCAACTATGAATACGCTAATCCTCCATTGTACCCAACTTCATGCATTCTTCTGAACTCCAGTTTCTTTACTCTCAAGAACAGAATAACACAAGAGAATGAGATGAGGTGTAAAGCACAACTTGATGTACCTAATTACTTGACAATGAGCAAAAAAGGGAGATTAACTCATGCTTCAAGGGATCATCACTGAGTCCTTCTCTTGTATTTCCCTCTCTTTTCTCCTTCCCTAGCCATCTGAAATAATGAACTAGTTATAGATAATTAGTCAATTATATCCTGGCCTACATATGGCATCTTGTAACATGAAATTCCCTGGACCCATGAAGCAGAGTCTCAGCAATAGAGGGAAGCAGCTAGGGTAGATGTAGTGGGATTAGAATAGTTATTGCTGCTTAGAAAGATATTCTGAATGAACGTGGCTATGGAGAACACAAGAATATAATTACTTTACCAAAGGGTGCATTCCATCCTTATTTCCATTGGCCAGCCCATTGGCTTGGCAAAGTAAAGATTCAAGATATGACCCAAGCAATAAATGAAATCCATGCACAAGGAGATTAATCAATGTTGTCAATATCCAAAGGAAATAAAAAATCAATATAATTATAGAACTTAATACTTTTTAGCCTTCCATCATTTCTTCCTTATGTCCTTACCTGGTCATGTATAATATGACCATCATGTATGACAAGTATATTTGTCATCATATATGACAAGTAAACCATCATATTTGACAAGTATGGCTCGGGCATGTTGTGAGAATAGCTGATGGTCGGATTCCAAAAGAACTCCTGTATGGAGAATTAGTGCAGGGAAAGCGCCCCAGAGGGAGACCACAGCTGCAATACAAGGACATCTGCAAGCGAGATCTGAAGGCCTTAGGAATGGACTTCAGTTAATGGGAAACCTTGACATGTGAGCATTCAGCCCGGAGGCAAGGCGTTGCAGCATGGCCTCTCCCAATTTGAAGAAGCACTTGTTCAGCAGGCCAAGGCAAAGAGGCAGTCCCAAAACCAGCAAAATCAGGAAGCTGGACAGGGGACAGATTGTATTTGTCTTCAGTGTAGAAGGGATTGTCACTCTCAAATTGGCCTTCTCAGCCACACTAGACATTGTTCCAAGATAGAGCACGTTACCATAGTCTCTTGAGACTGAAGGATGCCTACTACTATAGTCATACTCGTATGTCTGAGGAAATAGGCTTGATCCATGAAAGTTTACATTAAAATACAGTATTTAGTCTTTAAGATAACATGATGCTACAATCTCTCTCTCTCTCTCTCTCTCTCTGTCTGATATGCATCCACAAACTAACATGACCACTTCTTCAAAAATCACACTATTTATTTATTTATTTGTTTGTTTGTTTGTTTTCTACCCCACGCATCTAGTGACAAACTACTACTCCAAACATCTTACAAGAGAAAATGAATCTGAAATTAAGTAAAATAATGAAAAAGAGATGAGCCCACCTCTACAGCCCACATAAACAGCTATAAATACAAAAGCCCAAGATGGTACTCAGAGGGTGATGATTAATGGCTCCTTCTCAAACGGGGAGGAGATTACTAGTGGGGTACCCCAGGGTATGCGCCCTATGCTCTTCAAAATTATTATTAATGACCTTGGTCAGGGGATACAAGAGATGCTAATCAAATTTGTGGATGACACAATACCTTGGAAGACAGAATCAAAACTCAGAATTATCTTGATAGGCTTGAGCACTGTTTTCAAAAGAACAGAATGAAATTCAACATGGATGAGTGCAAAGTACTGCACCTTGAAAAAGAAACCAAACACACAGTTACAAGATGGGGGATACCTGGCTCAGCAATAGTACAAGTGAGAAGGATCTTGGAGTCATTGTAGATCACGAACTGAGTAGGAGCCAACAGTGTGATGTGTTTGCAAAAAAGGCAAAGCTATTTTAGGCTGCATTAGTAGAAGTATAGGTTCCAAATCCCGCGAGGTACTAGCTCCTCTCTATTCAGCACTGATCTTGAGTTCTGTGTCCAGTTCTAGACACCACACATCAAGAAGGATGCTGACAAATTGGAACAAGTTCAGAGGGCATGTTTAAGCTTCAGAAAAGAAGACTGAGGGGAGATACGATAGCATGTTTCAAATACTTGAAAGGCTGTATCATTCCAAGAAAGGGCAGCGTCAGTTCTCAATCATCCCAGAGTGCATGATACACAACAATGGGCTCAAGTTACAGGAAGCCAGATTTCGGTTAAATATTAGGAAAAATGTCTTAACTGTTAAAGCAGTACGGCAATGGAATCAATAACCTCACCTCCAAAAGGAAGTGAGTGTTCCAACACTAGAGGCATTAAAGAGAAATTTAGACCTGTCAGATTGCCTTTTTTTATATTCCTACATTGAGCAGGAGGGTGGACTCAATGGCCTTATAAGCCACTTCCAACTTCATTATTATATGATTCAATGATTTTATGATGATAACAATACAAGTTAAATTAATTACACAGTTAAACATTTAAATTAAAACAAATTAAGTTAAACAGGGAGAAAGGTCTTAAAAACATGTCTGAAAAGCAATGTTTTTATCTGACTTCTAAATATTAGGAGGGTGGAGACCTGATGCACCTCTAGTGGTAGTGAATTTCATAAAGAGGGGGCCACCACTGAGAAGAACCAGTTCTTGGTTGAGGACTTTTGATATCTCCCTCGGGTTAGCCACCAGCAGCATCAGAGATTGGGAGGTGCAGGTGGGACAGGTAGTAGATCTGAGAGAGAGATGCTCTGATAGATAGTAAGATCCCAAACTGCCCAGGACTTTGTGTGTCAACATTAACACTTTGAACTTATGGCATGTTTATTACTACAAAAACCATTCTAGGATAGAACTGTACAGTTCTTGCAGAACAGTTGTCAGAATAGAAGCTTTTTCTGAATTACATCCATGAAAAAGAATGTATTTTTAATTCAACATATATATTATATTCAGTATCACTTGTGCTTTGTCTTGTTCTGTTTTGGGCTTGATGGACTGCTCTTGGGTGTATGTGTTTGATTCTTTGGATTCTGAACATTTTTAAAAAATGCACAGCAATGGTAACATCAGATAATGAGTTGTTTATATCTAAGAAATATATGTTTGGGACATACTTGATCTATGGTATATTATTTATCTATTATTTATGTATTTAAAAATATTTCTATGCTGCCTTTCTTCCCCAAAAGGACCCAAGGTAACTTACATCATTAAATCAGTATTTAAAAGTTAAAAACAGTAAGTATACAAATATTTAAAAAAGAATTAAGCAAGTATTATACTAAAATAGTAACTAAGATCAATATTAAAACCCATTAAAAACAACAGAGCACAATGATCCATTTAAAACCCCTCTCAGACCACCAGTCACTAAAGAAAAGCCTGCCTGAAGAGAAAGGTCTTTGCAAAGATGGAGATAGAATGTGTATATAATGTATTTGAATAAGAGGAGATACATTACAATAAACCATGACTGGATTAATAGTTAGGCTAAACATGTTATTGTACCTTGAGCTCAAAGTTGTAAAACTATAGGTCGTTTTCTGGCTGCCTCCACTTATTTGTCATCCAGGGTTACTTCTTGTAATGTCCTTCTTCTTTTTCCCCCCTCTCCTTTTTTTACTATTTCCTTTCTCTTTTCCCTTTTTTCCCTCTCCTTCGCTACCTCTGCTCTTCCTTGGTGAATGTTCCTTCCTTACTTCTTTGCACTGACCCCTCTTGCAGGCATGCGCATTCTCGTGAACTTGCTCTTGGACACACTGCCCATGCTGGGGAATGTTCTGCTTCTCTGCTTCTTTGTCTTCTTCATCTTTGGCATCATTGGAGTACAACTATGGGCTGGTCTACTGAGAAACCGCTGCTTTATGGACGAGAACTTGACCATGTGAGTGACAGTGCGAGGACTTCTTCGTACTCTTTTTTCCATTTGTGAAGCATTTCTCTTCCCCAGTTTTGTTTCGTTTTGTTTTTGCTGAACTAATTGGAAACCTTACCAGTGATGCAATCTTTCCTCCCAGCTCAGTATCCTGTTGCATATCTTCACCTACACAACAGGAATGATGTCATGGTCAGCAGCAGATTGCCACTGATTGATGAGTCCCAGAGTGTGTACTATTTCATCTTATTGTTATGCATGCTCTGAAATAAAAAAATTTTAAAAGAATTAATTAGCAGCAACTTGCTGCTGATAATGACATCACTCCTGTTGTGCAGACAGGATGACACAAAAGGATACCAGCCACCTCATCCAACAACCTGCGTAGTGCATGCTAATGAGACTGAAAGCATGTCCACCAGATGACTGTCTCTACACAATGGTAGCTGTTTGCATATTGGGCCTTGCTTGGAGAGACTTGGAACTGCATGAAAAAAGTGAAAGACAGAGACACAACATGTCCCTAAATAGTTTTAAACCACCATTTTAAAATTATCCAGGAGTTTCATTTCCCACCACCAGAGAGGCACATGGGCAATTTCAGGGGGGGGGGCATATTTTGTGCCCTTAAGAGAGCAGCCCTGCAACTGAGCTAAGTGTTCAGAAAATCAAAACCAGATGCCGCTGGAAGTCCATTTTTCATTTCCATATTCTGTGTTTGTCATAGAGTCTTGAAGAGCTGAGGTGTCTTGCACCCAATTTTATTGCAAAACCACCCAGACCTAGTGGCTTCAAAGAGTGGGAAATTACTTGTGGGGGGGTAGATTTTCTTCCCCCAAGAAAAGATCTAATAGCACTGACAAGCAGAAGCAGGATTCTTAGGAAACAAATGGCTCTTAACTGCCCTTTGAAGACCAAGCACTCCCAGAATACTTTTCACTAAAACATATATAGCCCAAAGAATACAGAATTTTTGTTAACATCCACCTCCACCACCATTACTATGAGGGTTGTGACTAAGCTCAAAGGGAACAGGGAAGCTTGAGGTGGGCAGCAGATGAGATTCGTGTCTCTGGTAAACAGAGTCCCACTGTGTTCTTCCTTGTTCCATCAAATCACTATTTGAGCTTATTTGTTATTTGGCCACAAGGCTGTCTCATGGCAGGCCTTACAGCCAATCCCAACAACGTAATGAGTGGGCCTTTGTATTTTAAAAGTATACAGTACTTATTTATTTTATATGTGCTTATTTCTTGTCTTTCTAATCTGTATTGCCTTTCAAGGTGACACCTTCTCAAGGCCTAGCTCACATGCATAGTTAACGAACACAAATCTGTTACCTTTCCATTACAGTTAAAGTAAACATTTTAAAGTCTGTGCATCTTTAGGGTCCATCTGAAAAGTATAATGAGCGAAGCAGTTGCCGAATTTGTGTTGTAATTGTTGAGCTAGTGGTTTAAGAGTCTTTAGGAGTCTTCATTTGGCTTAATTTTCTACAGTCTTGATTTCTGTGGGTTTACTTCTGCAGTTTTGAGTTTGGATTCAATATTATGGGAAGTACTGCTGTCAGATGTTAGGAAATAAGTGTTTCAAATCATTCCATACACTGGCTCAGCACCAGATTACCCATTTGCTCCTTGAGGCGTGCATCTGCTGTTTTTTCAGCTTGAACAGTGTTGAAAGTACACCATTTTAGGGAGAAAAATTGATAGCAACATGCACTTCGGCATTCTTCAACAACTTTTCCCAGTATGTAGAAAGAAACTGGATTTTACTTGAGGCTACAGCTCCATTCAGATCATCCCCCAGACGACAGTTTTGGTCATTCTGAATGAGCCATAGACTCACTCACCAGGTCCTCCCACCTCTCGCTGTTTCCCTTTCCATTGGCCGTTTAGTACTTACCATAGTTTGCCACAGTATCTAACACATGGCATCTACTATTTGCTCTTCAAACCAGAATCGGCAACCTGTGTCTTGTTCTGACATTCACGGTGAACACATAGACGATAGCAGAGTTGTCTGCACCAGCCCCACCCTCAGGAACTCCATATGTATCAGTTCCATGCCCTGCGTCTCCTGTTTTGATTGGGCAGATATTGGAAATGTTTTTTTAAGATTAATTTGTTATTCTTAATTTATTAATTTGCAACAATTTTAACATCTGCTATTCAATCATTGTTTGAATTTGTTGCTTGCCATTTTTAATAACTCTAGTTCTAATTTAACAAGGACACAAAAGAATTAACAAACCAAATAATTTTGAAATAATAATGATAATAATTTTAAATAATTTAGAAATGTTATCATTTCCCCTCCAAGAGGCGAATAGTATGGACTCTAAGCACCTGCAGCTGAATGCATGAAGAATGCTTCTACAGACACACTAGAAGTTGGCTGATCAGGAAAAGAATGTGGAGGGGATGTCAGTCATTCTTTGACTGTCTTGGGAAATCATTGAACATTTCAATTTGGAAGAAGAATACTGGCCATAGTTTGTCAAGCCCATGGAAACCAATTGATTAGAGTTAAACATGAAATATGAAGGGGAGTCGAGAAATAGGAGCACCTGAACCTATAGCTTGTTCCTGTGAAACTGGTTCTTTAACAGTAACCTGTAATAAGTCATCTCTGTCCTTCTCCTCTACTATAATAGATGGGCAAGAAGCTATTGTGATAAGGCAGTGCTCCAGGTCTCCACAGATATTATTACTTCTAATGTTTGCTGCAACCATTTCATTAGTGCATTTTTCTGTCCTCTCAGACAAGGTAACATCACTCTTCCTCCCTATTACCAACCTGAGGAGGACGACGAAATGCCTTTCATCTGTTCGCTGTCAGGAGATAATGGCATCATGGGCTGTCACGAGATCCCCCCACTGAAAGAGCGGGGTCATGAATGCTGTTTGGACAAGGATGACTATTACTACTACACCTCAGTCAGGCAGGAGTTCAACGTCAGTGGCATGTGTGTCAACTGGAACCAGTATTACAATGAATGCCGCACAGGCAACGCCAATCCACACAAAGGGGCTATCAACTTCGACAATATTGGCTATGCATGGATTGTTATATTCCAGGTAATCTGAGTGGATCTTGAGCTTGTTCTATATACAACAGCTTATGTGTGGTAATTTGCCAGTGTTTTACAGAAAGATGAGCACAGTTGGGTGGATTGGATAGCACAAGATGGAGAAAATATAGTTAGGGTGTATTTGTATAAATGGGATGATAGCATAACTAGGTGGATTGGATAATACAAGATGGAAAAAGTTAATGTACTTCATTGGACAAAACCGAAGCAGAGGGTCAGAGAGAGAAGTATAGTGACAACTGGGCTGGATATTGTGTCTGTACTGTCCTTCCGGTCAAGGTAACAGCAGCCTTTCTCCCTACGTTAACAATGAAATACCAGTTGAGGCAAGGTGAAGTCACCTGTGTTGCTATACTATCTGGGTCACACTGCTGATTTATACTGGTGTTTTCCCCAATGGTTTCGAAAGGGAATTAAAGTCGTGTGCTTTGTTTTCGCTCTGCATGATTACTTTGGAAAATAAACCCAGAGATACTTTTTGTGTTGGCCAAAGAAGGTGAAGGGGCAGTCATGTAAGCCCCTTGTGCCTGCGTATGACTGCCTTGATGGCTTGAGTTGCCTTGAGTTAGGGGGGAAAGAAACAGAAAGCATTCATGGGGGGGCAGTTTCAAGGGTGCAATAAGGCAAGCAGGGCAGAGAGGAGATGCAGGGCAAGACAAATAGCACCTCTTTTGTGCAATGGGCCAGAGGCACCCTTCCAGCTGCTGCCTCCCCAGGAGGCCACTAGAAAGATGGGGGCACCGGCATAACGGTGATGCCAGGGAAGGAGGTCGGAAGGATGCAGAGAAGAGAAAGGAATGCAAGTGGTTCCAGATTAAGGGTGTCAAGAAAGAATACATTTTAAGGAGAGAGAGCAAAGCGGCGGGTTGAGGATTTCAGAGGCCTGCAGTCAGATTTTTTTAAAATTTTTATTAGAAATTAGCACAATATCATTTAAGCAATGGGCCCCCTGAACTATACATGGCCATGTGTTTTCTTTATTATACTTGTCAATCCCTCAAGCTTCCATATCTCCCATTTTCAATAGCAGAAATACTTCAAAAGACAGTATTTATTCTGGCAGATGCATTCACATATGCTGAAACTATTCAAAATAAATGGATTTTGCATTTTTGTTAAAACAAAAATCTCCATGCGGCTCTTCAAAATAACTCACTTGGTGGACCAAAAACACAAAAACAAAAACCAGGCTCCCCTATGTGTCGTGTAGCCATGAGTTTCTAGATTGATTTTAATAATGCTGACACCAGTTCATCTATGGTTCTTATTGCCAGTGTGACCAAGCTCTAAGTTGTTTGGGCCAGAGAACATACCTTGACACAAATGTTATGATCCTTATTGCTTCTTTGAGTCACATGGTCCTTCATAGATGGGGCAGCTGCAGTTCCAGAGGGTGATATTATAACGTAGCAGAAATTAGGCTGGTAATTATTTCAGTTAAATGAGTGTTACCTTAGTATTCTCAGGAATAATGCACCTAGACTCTGTTTCCAGGCTTTCTGGTTTATTCCCTGGTGCTTTACAACAAAAAGATATTTTTGTTTCCTTCCTTTCTTGTTTGTTTCCGTTCTTTTCCTTTTTAAAAAAGAAGGGAATAAGCTGATAAAGTTGTAGCAATAGGTTGTGGTGCTTTAGTGTCTGTCACAGTGGATTTTGTCCAATTTTAAATTGCAGTTTTGTCCTTGTTATTTAGTACATCTGTGAGATAAAAATTCACTTTAACTGCAGCCACAACATGATAAAATGATTATGGCATTGCCAGTCATAATGAAAAGTCACATCACCTTTTTCAGCAGTGGCTTGCAATAAGCCATTACTGTTGGTTGGTTGGTTGGTAGGTAGGTAGGTAGGTAGGTAGGTAGGTAGGTAGGTAGGTAGGTAGGCAGGCAGGCAGGCAGGCAGGCAGGCAGGCAGGCAGGTGTGTGTAATGGCTTATATATATCATCCACCACACCTGTTGCTTAAATTTAATGTGCAAATTTACCCAATGACATGATATATGTAGACATTTGTGTATAATGGTTGATGCTTCTGCCAATACCTTTGATGATTAAATCGTTGCAAATCTTTTTTTTTTTGTCTTTTTTTTTGTCAAAGGGTCTAAAATGTATTGGAGGAAACCAGCAATGTGGTTTGTACCCCACAGTCCCCGTCACCTCCCTATATTTTACTGCCACCATCGCGCCTACCACCATCTTGAGAGGCTGCCCAGCAGCTCCTGTAGGCCAGGCTGCCTCTCAAATTTTATAGAGAGAGAGGGGGAGGAGGGAAAGGGGGAGGTAGCCTGGCTGGCTCCTGCAGACTAAGCTGCCTCTGTGCATGTGCCCACATCTCAGCTGAGAGTTGAGCGCATGTGCAGGCAGGCAGCCCTGCAGGAACCAGCACAATTTCTTCTCAAGATAACGGCAGTGGCAAAGGATGCAGTGACAGCAAAGGCTAGGGAGGTGACAGGGGCAGTGGGATTTATTTATTTTTATTTTTATTTTGAGTGGCAGCCTGAGTTACCTCTCAGTTGAGAAACAGGTGCATGCGCAGAGGTAATACCAGGCCCTCAGAAACAAATGTTTTGTTTTGTTTTATTTTTGAGAGGCAGCGGTGGTTTTATAGGGCTGATGACCCAACAAACTGATTCATGGTTCGTTTAGTAAAGGTCTGGAAATTTGTGGTTCGCGGTTTGTGGACTTCAACAAACCACAAACAGACAAACCATTTTGCTGGTTCGTGCCCATCTCTAACCGATACATAAAACACAGTTGGTCAGCTTTCAGTACATAGTGAGAGGGAAGAATGCATTCTAAATTTTGCAATTATCTCATTTCTTGTCTAAAAGAATCTGAAATTTAAGAACATGATTAGCCTAACTGGGTGTTTCCACAGATTTCACTGGGGAATTTAGGGCCCCACTTTGCCATTGGAATCTGTAGGTCTTCTTTAAAATGGCTAGCTGTAACTGAAGCCCAAATATTTCCAATATAAGTAACGCTACCTATGCCTCCATTCGTGCTACAAGGAAAAAATATTGCACTGCTAGGCTAACAGAGATAAATTATTATGACTTTAATGACCTGACACAACTTATATGGTTGGATTTCCTTTTTCAGGGAGGGGCTCCTGTTGCAAAATAACACACCTTAGAATAGATTTGGTCACCCATCTTCACATACCTTCTTCAATTACTGCCATTTGACCTGTTTTCTTTTCTCTCCTTGCAGGTGATCACTCTGGAAGGGTGGGTGGAGATTATGTACTATGTGATGGATGCTCATTCATTCTACAACTTCATCTACTTCATTTTGCTGATCATTGTAAGTAATATCGTCGATTCACTTAAGTGTCTCAAATGGCAGCCAAACTGGGAGTGTGAAAACTGGCACATATTCTTTCCAAATTAGTGTTAGAAAGCAGAAAATCTTCAAGCTGGTCTTTCTAGATGGCACAAGGTTCCAGTGCTGGCTCTTCCTCTCTTCCAAATAGGAAAACCATTAAAGTTCTTGAATCACATTTGGCTTTTCCATTCTAGAATTGGATGGTAGCTTTTGTTTCGGGTCAACAGAAATCTCTTTCCATGATTTCTCTTTCCCTTTCTTTATTTAAATGGCAATGCATAACTGAGCCTGTTTTCAATACATATCTTACCCCATCTACCCACAATTTAAGTCCAAGTATAGTCTGCAAATTGCAGTCTAATATCTGAAGTACATCCAGCCTGGTCAACATTTCCTGGTCAATGCAATTACGAGACGTTCGTAAACTGAGGTACTACTTCACAAAGAGTGCCTGTATTTTTAAAAAAATGCACCCCAAACAAGTGTGCATTTTTGTGCAAGCTGGGGAAAAATATTTGAAATTTGAAGTGACACTGAAAATGGATCAATCTTCATGGCAAAAATGAGAAGCTGAGCGAAGCGGAGCTTGGCAGATTTGCCCAACTGTAAGCAAATCTTAGGGCTTTGTCGTGCAGGGCTTCATGGAGGGAATTCAAGATGCCAAAGCTTCCACCCTTCTTCCTCCCCCCTTTTTTTTTTTTTTTTTGCTATATTCCTTTCTCTTTTTAAAGCGTAGCCTGTTCTTAGCAAAAAGAAAAAAACAAAAACAAAAACATTCTTGCATTCGGGATGGGTTAGAAAGGTGGATTATTTACGCCTCTCCTGAGGAGAAATGGGTGGAACACAATAGCTTAGATAAGCCCAGTCCAATTGTTTTGCTTCACTGTTTTGTCCTCACTTTGGAATACACATGTGCATCAATTCAGTCGGTTTTCCCATCATACACAAGCTAAACAAATTGCCAGGATAACACTTAAAGAAAGAAAGAAAGAAAGAAAGAAAGAAAGAAAGAAAGAAAGAAAGAAAGAAAGAAAGAAAGAAAGAAACAAACAAACAAACAAACAAACAAACAAACAAAGGAACAAACAAACAAACAAATAAACATTTTCCACTTGTGGAGTTGTATGCTGCAATTTCTGTTGTTGTCCAACCTTTAGATGAGCATAATTCCCCCCTTCCACCCATAGTTGTACACCCTGGAGAGGTCCCTCCTTAAAAATAGCACTTGGGGAGACAAGCTTTGGGGTGCATTTAGAAAGATGTTTTATTTGCCTCTGTTATCCTGGTATCCTGATATTCACATTAGGTTGTGTGCGAAAGTAATAATCTTTTTGCACATGATTGTAGATAGAAGGCTCAGAAGGCAAATATAATGAATAGGGCTTTTACTATTAATAAGGATAAGACAAACTTTTCAATTTCCTGCTACAGGTTTATGGACATATTGTGACAAAGCACTAAAAAACATATTTGAAAATTAAGCCTTTTAGAAAATTATCTTGTTGTTTAAGTGAAAATTAGAATTGTACATACCCTTAAGTCCATAGCAGAACCAGCAATAAGAATAGCCTTTCTACCTTTAATCGTAGTTATGATTATATTCAGAAAAAAATACTATATTTATTATTCCCTAAGGGATTTTTAAAAGTTCAAATGCTGTATATTCGAGCTATTGTATATTAGGAAAAAATAATAATACAGTAATCATGTGCCATCAAGTCAGTTCTGACTTTGTGGTGAGCCTTTTGCAGGGTTTTCCAGGTAGAGAGAAGAAAGGAATGGTTGACCATTTCCTTCTTCTGGGGGTGTCCTGGAACTGTGCAGCTAGCCCGTGACTACACAGGCTGTCTTTCCTCACAGGAGGCACAGCAGGGGAATCAAACTCCCAACCTCTGGCTCCACATTCAGAGACCTAAAACCTTGAGCTCTCCATCAAGTGTAGGAATAAAAATAGCAAAGAATAAAAGCAACTAAAGCTTGCCTACAGGCTTACAACCCCAATGAACAAACTCATGAGAAAAGAAGAAAGGAAAGTCAGGGAAGGCAATTAAGGAGGAAAGATACTAAATTAAAGTACCTCTGTTAATTAAAAAAGACATGAAAATAAGGGACACTTCATAAAGAGTAAGAGGGACATGAAGAGTAAGCAAGGGAAGTGAATCAAACTAAACATCTCATCCCAGGCACTCATCACCACCTCAAAATGGTTTTCTTAGAACTGCATAATAGTGGAGGCAAAAATAAACATTGAGTAAGTGTCCTCCCCAAGAAATGCAGTTTAAGATTTCCCCATGGGACCTGTTTCTAAAATAAGGCTGTTCCTACAGCCATGTGACAATATCCAAAGCCTCATAATTAGACATTTCACAGCATTGTCCATCCCCTCACCAAATCATTGATGCCTTAAAAAAAGGAAAACATTACTATGTCTTATAAATATATCAGATTGTAGGAAGCTGTCTTATAGTGAGTCAAATCACTGCTCACTATTTAGCCCCATATGGTCAGCTCTGATTAGCAGCATCTCTAATCCCTGATATTTCAGAGGGCAAATGAGGGTCTCCTATCCAAGTGGATAGAAAAGCCCTCCTTTCTTTGTTTCCAAAATGAGACCATGTCAGGTATGCTTGGGGTGATATGGTGGATCATGTTGGCTTACTGTCTGTTGATTTGGAGGCTACGTGGCAGGCAGAAAGATGAAATATTTATATTATGAATGAATGAATGAATGAATTAATGAATGAATGAATGAATGAATGAATGAATGAATGAATGAATGAATTAATGAATGACATAGAAATCTAGGAACGAGCACCAACTTTCTACTTTCTTCTCCCTTTTCAATTTTTTTTACACTCTTCCATTTCTAATCTTTACCTTTACAAAAAGCTTCTTCCTTTTCTAATCTTTTTCATTCTTTTTGTCTCTCCTCTGCTGTTTTCCAGGTGGGCTCATTTTTCATGATCAACCTGTGCCTAGTGGTGATTGCTACACAGTTTTCAGAGACCAAGCAGCGAGAGCACCAACTGATGCAAGAGCAGCGAGCCCGATACCTCTCCTCCAGTACAGTGGCCAGCTACATGGAGCCCGGAGACTGCTATGAAGAGATATTCCAATATGTCTGCCACATTGTTCGCAAAGCCAAGCGACGCACCCTTGGCTTCTACAATAGTCTACAGGATCGACGCCTGGGCCGAACAGAGACAAGCGCTGCTGAGCGGAGCGCAAATAGGAAAGTTCAAAGGCAATACAGTAAGAGTCGTAAAGCCAAATGAGGGTGGTAGGGGAAGGAAAATACAGTAACTGGTAAGATCACCACTGGATCAGAGTACTTAAGACCTAAAGCTAAAGAGATCAGTCTACTTACAGTCTGTTTCAGGGTGCAATCAGATAAATGATAAAGGGCCACTTTCACTGGGTGAAATCTCCTTTAAAGCAACCATCCCATGCATATCCAGTCTGGTCCCTTCACTCCAGCTCAGCTCAAAAAACAGCATAGTCCTGCCTCTGGTTGGTCAGAATTGTAGCAGAGCTTTTGGACTGCAATTTTAAAAAAATCCCCAGCCAGCATGACTACTGGGCAAGCTATCCAGAAGATTCTGGGTGCTACAAAATAAATAATATTTCCAAGCTTTTGCTCTGATTCAACAGATGTGGAAAGCCCCAGATGGCAAGAGACTCCTTGATATGATCAATAAGGTTTCCTGGATTTTTAAAGACAGAAGAGATTTTTATATTCTTCTTCTTCTCCTCTCTCTCTCCCTCCCTCCCTCCACATCACAATAATACAGGTCATGGCCTCCTATTTAATGTTTCTTGCAGCCTGAAGAATTATTCCACCCAGCTACATAACCAGACACAACTGAATCTAATCTGTTGTGGTTGAAGTAGAGCGTGTCCCTGAAATCCATGCAATCTTCATTTAAAGACTCTCTGTGATGATGAGCTTAACACTTCCCATGGCAGGCTGTTCCAGTGCTTAATTTTCTTCACTGTTAAAATGGCTAGCAACCTAGTTTAGGAGTTCCTTTGCCTAATTAAATGTCAGGATGCTGCAGCACTGCTACACTGTTCCAACAAATGGATCTTTAGCCTTTAACATTGATCTCTGTATGTGTTATTATCCAGGGCGTTGCCGGAAACACAACTCCATGGATCACATGCCACAAGGTCTTGGCCAGCCTATTGCTGTGACATTGACCTCTGACCCCAGCAACTGTCCAAGGTGTCACAAGGCCCAGCAGGAAGCAGCCCGGAGACTTTCTGTGCTTGAGAGTGCAGACTCGGATCAAGAAGAAGGAGGAGGTGCCAACGAAGAAGAAGGAGGTAGCAGGAAAGGAAGCGTGGAAGCTGCAGACCTGGAAAAAGAGGAAGAAGATGGTGAAAAAGGCAGACAGCCGACACTCTGCAGTGACATGTGGCAAGAAGTGAGAGTCAAACTAAGGGGAATTGTGGAGAGCAAATATTTCAACCGTGGGATCATGATTGCCATTCTTGTGAACACTATCAGCATGGGCATCGAACACCACGAACAGGTAACTAGAGCAGTGTGCAGCTGAGCAGTGTGAGGTGATATCTGTGTAGGTCAAAATGGGTGGTTGTAATTGGGCATGCCATGATTCATGGGGCACCTTCTTCAGGTATGAACAAGACATTTTTGAAATAATGTTGCACTTTACTATGACATGTCCTGTGCAATGATAAGCAATTTGGCCATAGAGCCACTTAATAAATCATGCAGCTCCTTCTCGGAAGATTTGAGTTGAAAGCCCAGGAAGGTTCCTGGATCTGCTGCAACTCTTTTAAAGCTGATAGACAATTTGTGCCCCTTCAGATGTCACTGTACTGTGACACCTGTCTCTCACTATTTGGTTAGGCTGGTCAGGCAGTTGAAATATGGAAGTCGTATATATAGAAAACAACAAATTCTACACCCCGCCAACAGCAATCTTCATTTCACTGTTCAGTGAGAAGAGTCAGATTTTCATAATGGACAACAAGGAGGAACCTGTGAACTACAGACAGATCAGCCTAATATCAATCCCAGGGTAAAGTCTAGAATATATTTTAAAGTGGCCACTCTGTCAAAAAGGAGGAACCTGTGAACTACAGACCGATCAGCCTGATATCAATCCCAGGGAAAAGTCTAGAATAGATTTTAAAGTGTCCAATCTGCAAGCACCTTGAAAACAGTGCACTAATAACTCAGGGAAAATCAGGAAAAGGCCACATGGTCATGGAAACAATACAAATGCAGGAGCAGATGATACCTTTAATTGACCATTATGAATATAAATCAAAAACAACAAATAGTGAGCTTTTGATGATAAATCACCTTCTTCAAGGTTGTAATCTATACTATCAGCCGTGTGAATTTGGGACAATAAGAACAGGACGCAAATTTGGATCTGGCCGCGAGAACTTGATACACAGCCTTGAAGAAGATGATTTATAATTGGAAGCTCACTATTTGGTTGTTGTTTTTGTTTTATATTCTTAATAGTCAATTAAAGGTATCACCTGCTCCTGCATTTGCACTAATAACTAGAAGCCAACACAGATTTGTCAAGAACAAATCCTGCCAGACTTATCCCATTTTTTGACTGGGTATATTCCCCGGTAGATGGTAGGGATGCTACAGACATAATATATCTGCACTTCATCAAAGTTTTTGGCCAAGTGCCCCATGACATTTTGATTAGCAAGATAACTAGATGTGGGCTAAATAGAACAACTATCAGTTAGATACACGTTGGTTGCAGAATCATACTCAGAGTGTGCTCCTTCTCAAACTAGAAGGAGGCAGTCACTGGGAAGGGAGGGAATTTAAAATAACAATAGGATCAGTCTTCCTACATGGTCTTCATTTCCTTCTAAAAAGCGCAGTGCAAGAAGCTCCACTTCCACAATTTCTATCCATCCTTTTGCCCCCACCCTTCCTGCTTCCTGGATCTGAAATCAGTGGTGTTGTAGAGTTATGATTTAAAGTGACTTTACAGCAGAAAGGGCAAGTAAGTGTTCATTTTGAAGGTAAAGAGTATATTGCTTGTCATCTTCCTGAAGTTTTTTGTTCTCTTTTCCCACTTCTGAACATGGTGTGTGGATATCTTAATACAAGAAATCTATGAGTTTGCCACTCTGCCCCATTAATGCCTCTGGGTGTTTTCTCCATTCCATGGTCTCCTCAGAAAGAGACAAATGCCCAATTGGTTTCATTTATACATTGTCTAAATAAAGTAAATCTCCATAATCTGCAGTTTTTAAGTCTTAAAAGGGAAGACAGGGGAAATTGTACAAGTTTAAATTAGTTGTTCCGCGATGCTACATAGATTTCAGACTGCACCAAAAACTGCAGAGACAAAGACACAATAATAGCTGTTATCCCATTTTTAAAATAAAATATAGAAGATTCTTGGTTCTGTATCAGTTCTGGAGGTGGCTTTATGTATGGTTGCTAGGTCTCAGGATGCTGGCTGAAATCAGGATTTGTTATGCTTCTACAGTTAGGGAGTGAAATCTGAAGGCGAGCAGTTTGTGAGGAGGAAAAAATAATAATTATTTCCTGTAGGGGGGCTTTAACCCATTCAACTAATCTCCTCCCTCCCAGCTGGCAGCAGAATTCATTGACTCAGCAGGAAGGGGGTTGTATGTAGATTGCGTCTGTAGTAAAGGAAGTCCAGAATTCTCTGCCTCACTCTCTCATGAGTAAACAATAAAAACACATTTCTTTTGCAACTGTTGGAAAAAAAGTCACCTCTTCTGACCTCACAAGGGAGGTCTTGCCTCCTAATTTCAAGCTTTGGACCTCAGATCAGAGAGAATGGGAAGCTATTCACGTGGCAACCTTAATGGCATTACATTTTTGTTGTCGTTATGTGTCATCAAGTTGGCACCAATTTATACCGACCCTAATCGGTCTTTTAAGGTAAGTGAGATGTTTAAGGAGTGGTTCCATTCCCACAGTGAGTTTCCATTGCTTAGCAGGAATTTGAACCTTTGTCTCCAGAGTCCTAATCTATTACTCTATCCGCTACACCACACTGAGTATCTCTCATGACATTTTAGTTGATGCCAATAAAAATATTATTGCCTTTCTGTGGTTTCTGGATAGGATCTGTTCTTGGGTACCCTTGCTTACTAAATATGTATAATGTCTAATATAAAATTGGGAGTGGGAGGAAGTAGCAGTCGGTCCCTTTTTGTCTCCATCCAGACTTCTTTTCTGTTGCTACTCTACCTCTTCTATTTCTTTGCCTACTCTTGTCCTCCAATATTTTCTCTCTATGTACTCAATTCAACTGATCTCATCCCACTTATTCTAGGCTATGTCAACCCCACTTCCCACCACCTTCCCTTCTTTCTGTCTCATTTCTCCCTTCATTAGCTAACTGAATCCTTAGTCTGTTTGGTTTAGTTTAATACACCCTCTGGGGACATCACAGGCACTTCACCAGCCGCTCAAATCAAATCCATCAGCCTGCCAGTCTTTCCAGCTTAATTAAGAGACACACAAGCATAGCCCATCTTGCACAGAGGTAGAAAAGAAGATGAGTCTTATGTGAGCAGAGAGCTCAAGGAAGCCTTTGATCTCTCCTCAAGGGATGGGAGAGTGCTGAAACTTATCTTTTCATTTGTTACTATCAGCTCAAGAATGGATTAAGAGAGAGAAAAAAGAAAACAACTCTCTGTCCAGATGCAAATGTGACTCTCATTACTCTGAAAGTGCACCACCATCAGCTGCACATTTCATCTTCGTAATGATGATGGGACTCTAACCTAGAAGTCTTGTGTGTCAGACCTCAATTATTTGTTGTGATGGCCCTGAACTCAAATGTGTTCTTACCTTCTCTGACTGTGTTGCCTGCTTAGTGTAATCGGGGGAGGGGGGGTAGAGAGAGAGAATATATATACTAATAATTAAACCAAAATAACCCGCAGGGATCTCAGAAAGATGTATCTCCTAAGCACAGTAAATGGTGACAAAAATAGGTTACTTAGAACAACCCATGAATAAGGCTCCCAAATGAAATACACAGAAACCTGTTGAACTTAACTATAATAATAAAAATGCACATGCATGGCCTCATGTGTGCCTGCTTCCCGCATAACCTCATGAAACTTAGAGATCTGAAACTTAGCATGGACACTAAAGGTGAAGATGCAATGAAGACATGTAATGACTTTCTCATCTATGATGATCTATGGTGAAAAGGGGTGTCTTGGCATGTTTGGGGATGTTTTCATTCCTGCACAGAAAGACCTGTGCTTTGCTAGCCACAGACTTGCCCCTTGCCACAGAAAAGAAAAGGAAGTTGTTTTAATGTGAAAACTTGTATTTTAGGCAAAAATGTGTATTTTATCTTTTTTTAACCTTTGTATTCTTGCATCAAATTTGTGTTTTAATTCAAAATACATATTTTTGCATTGTGTACAAAAAACAAAGTTTGTGTGCAAAATGTATGCCAATGACTTCTTACCAAAAACAAAAAAACCCTCCCCAAATGCAAACAATGAACACAAACTCTTGTAGTTTCTCCCACTAGAGAGAAAACCTTTGACATTTTACATTCTCACATGCAAGAATGAAGTAAGTGAACTTCACTTTTCCAACTGAGGAGACTCTAAAGATGTGCATTGTGGATTATGTTGTTTTAAAAATTAATTTTTAGTTTTTGTTAATTGTAATATCTGTAGTCTGCACTTCCTTCTTAAATAATTAAGTGCCAGACTTTCTTTAAGTAGAAGTATGTCTAGGATGCTCATTGCCCCAAAGGGCTTCTAAACAGCTACAGCTGATACTTCTTTTGCAGCCTCCACAAACTCCTCATACAGTTCAGATGGGTGGGGGAAAGGCACAAAGAGAGAGAGAGAGAGAGATTAATTATGCTTATTAAGAGGGTAGAGGAAAAATAGAGAAGAGGGAAAAGCACTAGGTTGGAGAGAAAGAAATCAGCATGATAGTAAAAGAGTACAAGGGGGGAAGAGAAAAGGCAGAAGATAAGAAACCCCCCTCAGAGGTTTCTGGCCCATTTGAGGCTGATAAACCACCATTGTATACTCCTCGGGGAAGAGAAAAGGCAGAAGATAAGAAACACCCCTCAGAGGTTTCTGGCCCATTTGAAGCTGATAAACCACCATTGTATACTCCTTGTTTTCAGTTTTAAATACTGTCTTTCAATTACCTAAGTCAACTTGGGTCCTTTTTAAGAAGAAAGGCAGGGTAAAAATATCCATCCATCCATCCATCCATCCATCCATCCATCCATCAAGAAAGAAAGAAAGAAAGAAAGAAAGAAAGAAAGAAAGAAAGAAAGAAAGAAAGAAAGAAAAAGACTAGGAAAAAGAGTGGGAACATCACTTGTAGGGGAGAGACATTAAGGAGTTTCAAAACCCTATGGATTTGGGTTATAGTGACTGAGTACTGGAATGAAGGACAAGAAAGACCGCTCTATTTCAGGAGAACTAATGTTTATGCTAGTCTCAGAATAAACATAGTTTTTCAGCATCTTCCAACTGATACTTTTGGCAATCTTTA